AGCAGCAGCAGCAGCAGCAGCAGCAGCGGTGATGCGGGCGAGCAGCAATTCCCAAGAGAGCGTCGTGGCTCGAATCGTGAATCTAGAGAGCCTCCGCAGTCGGGTGCGAACACGAGCAGCTTCGGGATGCCCTCTGCTATCTTCCTCCTCTTCAACCACCTCCCTAACCTTCAAGTGCAATCGCTCGCTTTGCAGTCTCATCGCTGGCAGTAGCAGGCACGCAGCCGCACACGGCCCATACTCAAAGTTGCACCCTTCTCGATCCCACTCCACCACATCGCGCGCGACGCGCAACACCCTTCCTCTCTCGCGCACGCTGACCACCTCCAGCAACCCTCAGCCCGCTGCGTGACGACCAGTTGCGCCTTGTCCTTCAATCACCACCGCATCGAGATCGTCTTTGGAATGATGAAACAGCAATCCGCCACCATCGCGTCCGCCGCAGGGCCTTCGAGAGCCCAGCCATCCGCTGCGGCCAACAAGCTCGCCGCAAAGAACGGCGCCGGCATCGGCGGCTTGCCTGGCGGCGTCGTGGGTCCAGAAGCAGCCGGCCTGGATCCATCCGGGCCCGAGCATTTCTTCGTCACCCTCGCTGCCTATGCCGATGCGCTCGATGCGCTGCCGCTCGACCTCACCCGCAGCTTCTCTGACCTGCGAGAGCTCGATGCGGTGCTCGGCTCGCACCTCAACAGCCTCACAGCGCGTCTCAGCCATCTCACCGCACTCATCGAGGATCCCGACATCGACCAGGGCCAGCGTCTGCTCGCACTCAAAGAGGTAGCCGAGGAGGCGCGCGCCTACAAGATGGGCGGTGAGGACAAGATCCGTGTCGCACTCAACACCGCCGAAACCATCATCAGCCACACCGACTACATCGACGCGCTCGACAGCCAGCTCGACCGCTTCGCCGAAATCTCGGCGCTGCTCAACCCTACCAAGCACCTCAAGCTCGAGCAGTACTATGTGCCCGGCGCCCTCAAGGACCGCAAGCTCATCTCGGCACTCGACAGCCACACGGGCGCAGCCGGCGGCGCGTCCGGCGCCGATGCCAACGGCGCATCCAGCTCCAAGAAGAAAAAGGTCGCCCAGATCGCCGCAGCGAGCGCAGCGGGCGGCAAGAGCCACCGAGCCGGAGATGCAACCGCGGTCTCTGGTTCCGCTGCTGGAACGGGCGCTTCTTCCAGCAGCAAGAAGCGCAAGGCCATCTCGGGTGCGGCGGTCGGTGGTTCCGGCTCCACCTCCAGTTCCAAGGTCGCCAAGACGGCGGCGTCGGGCAAAGGCGACGACGACGTCAAGTCGGCCGCCAACGGCTCGAGCACGCACAAGAAGAAGACCGAGGGCGGCTCCAACGCTGGCGCGTCGGGATCCAAGTCGAGCCAGCTGGCCAACAGCAACACGCGTCTGCCACGCGCCGCACATGCGCACAGCGGCTACACCGAGGACGACGAGGACGGCACGGGCGCCCGCAAGGATGGCTCGCGTCGGGCGGTGGGTGTGGACGCGGACGAGTCTTCGGCGAATCGCAGCCGCAACAGTCGTTCGGTTCGAGCCAGCGCGGCCGCACAGCGCAGCGACGACGACGACGA